GGCCTGTTGCTGAGCTGCCACTTCTACACCTTTAGGCTATAAGCTATTATTGCACTATATAGAGAGCTCAGCCCAATGCTCTGGGAAGAGGCAGAGACACTAGTGCTCCACCTACTGCAGGGAGAACAAGCCGGGTAATAAACTCTTTCATCCCAAAGAATGTTTTGCTGTCAGTTTCTTTGGTCACATTCAATCCATAGCAAACTTGCCCGGGGCTGAAACCCACTGGCACAACAAGTACATTAAAAAAAAAATAGTAAACAGGCTAAGCTTCTTCCAAAAATGCATTCTGCAGAGCTAATAGAAGAATAATAAATGTGAAATTGGAAGAAATTATTTACTTTGGCTTTCATCTTTTATAGCTTTGCCCTCCAAAAAAGTTACATTTAAAGATCAGAATGCCTTATAACCCTAGTTTTAGTAATGGCAGTACTTGACTCTAATTTTGGAAGACTAATTTTGAGACTGTTTCCACAGAGTTGATATAAAGGAAAATCAGGGTGAATTAAAAGGATTGAGTACACAGGAACCCAGTGTGAGGGGAGCCTAAGCTCATCATGCAAGCAGGTGTGGCATGCACGGGCATGAACACTTCAGTTTGCTGTTGTTTTTTTCTGAGAAAAATACAGAATTTGGGTTCTGTATTTATTCCCTACCAGACATGAATTCTTTCAAAATTAATCATTAACACTGGAAAGTACAAGTGAACAGAAAGCAAAAGATAAAGTTAATATCATTAAGCAAAAATCTAACATTGCTCTTTTGTATTCCAGGATCCTTACCTGGTGATATCCTCTAGTGACCACAGGTTCAGATGCCCTTAGAATGTTTGTTAAATAAATCAAGCGTACCTTTTCTGTTTTCCTTGCTCTTCTAGGGTAACTATACCCATGTCTTACTAAAGGGTCATCAAAGGAAATGAAGATCTAGCATATAAATTTCTTTCTGCACATGTAAACAGTAACAGCCATGTTAATCAAGGCTGTATTTATTTAAATCTCAGTCATATTAGTCATTTTCATAAGCTGATTGGTAAAAAATGGATATTTCTTGGTGTTTCCATGAGTCATTCACCAAGCAATAACACCATCAGTAGTTACTGATCTCCTGGGGATGGCAGCTTAATTACACAGAAAGTTAAACTTGAGAATAGTGGTATACGTGCAAACATAGAAACTGTCCTGTCTTTAGGTGGTTTATTATTAAATTTAATACTCAGATGGTCTTTTTTGTTTCTGTAGATTTTAATTACTAGGTCTGGTAAAATATGAATTATTGTATTATCACAAGTGATAAAATGTATACAGTTACAAGCATTGCAATCTGCAGGTGTAACATACATAAAGCAAGATTAATAGTATCAAGCAATTAAACGGAAGCTATCTTTAAGGGGAAAAAAGATTTAAGGCCATCCTTAGTAACTTAGACTCTCACTAAATATTCTTAACTGCAATAAAAACATGTTAATTTTAGGAGTGACTTCTTTATAAGACTTCATTTCTTGGAGTAAGTTTTTCTTTCTAAGAATACAAAAGCTTACTGAAATAATTTCTATTGCTAACTAATTCCATAAAGAACTGAATTTTTCCTTGGCTTTCAATGGAGAAAGCCCAAAATAGGACAGGAAATTTTGTGTGTGGTGAATATAAGTATGAACTAAATCCAGTTGGGATAAAAATGATTAAATTATTGATAAGGTCATTGTTGGTCCCAAAGCATTCCATCAGCCATATAGTGTTACTTAAATATTTTGAGAATTTGGCTCAATTTTCCTAAAATTGCATGTAAAATAGAGGAAAGCTGTCTTTTGCTTTCATATCCTTGAATATACAACTTACTAACGTGCTAGGCAGCTAATTTATTTTTTTCCTTATCTATTTCTGGGTTTTTTTTTACACTTCCTGAATGATTTTTATGTCACTACTAAAAAGATCAATGCCTGTACTTCCAGTTTAGCTGCACCTTTGCTTCTTGGTAGTATGACATGTAGCTTTATAGTGAGTTTAACAAGACCTTGGTAAACACTTAAAGCACTTAGCAAAGTGTGCAGAGCTCTTTACAAAGAACTTTCTGACTCTCTCTTTCACACACACAGAGAACTTGGTCCTTGCCCTGGAATTATTTAGCAGTGTACTAAGGTGAAATCTCAAAACGAGAGCCACGGAGAACATTTATAAGGCAGTATATCATAGGTCACACATTAAATATCAAAGTACTGAAGATTCACGGTCTGTGTAGTTTTGAAGCTGTCTTTCATTCCGTGTAGATCAGTAGGTGTCTGTGGCTCCCTGTCCTGACTGCCTCAGTGGAGACAGCTGCTTGTAACGTTTGCAGCTTCAGTTTTGAAGCTAAGCTGCCACAAACCCAATCAGCAAGGTTGTAAGACAAGGTTGAGCAGTAACTGGGCATTCTGTTATAGAAATAAGAGGAATGTAACAAGAGGAATAATAAATAGGCTACTTTATTTCTTTTTTTGCTCTTCAAGCAGTCAGTGTTGAAGCCAAAGATGTGGTTGTCTGTAGAAAATGAGGAGGACATGTGCTTTAAGGACAAGGGAAAGGCTAGTACTATAGTCTCATCTGTGTATTTACCTTCATCAGGTTTTTTTGTACTTTTTTGCAAAATGATGTCTGTTATAGCATGATAAATGTCATCTTTTTAAAAAGTCATTTTGCTTTCAATAGGAGATAACAGGGAAAACACAGGAAAAAAATATTCCCCTACATGTAAGAAGCAAAAGCAATTTCTCAGGAAACAGCAGCAGTAGTTACCAAATGGGATTATTTAAATATGGAGAGCATTACAGTAACCTACAAGCAATGACTGGGACATGGTCAGGGCAGAGTGCTTATTTTACAGGTGTGATGCTCCAACTGTGTACGGGTGTCCAGGTAGGAATCAGGAGGAACCATTTGAATGTCTCAATTCTCAATTTTGAAACTGCCCAAAATTGCCTATCAATTAAACCAAGATAATTCTTATTTCATTATTTATTTATATTTTTCAGCTTTACTGAGGTATAACTGACAAAACTGTAAGATATTTAGAGTATACAATGTGATGATTTGATGTATTATACCTTATGAAAGAATTCCTCCCATCTAATCAATGATCGTTTATCTTTTTTTTTTTAGTGAAAACATTTAAGTTCTACTCTCAGCAAATTTCTATTGTACAAAATAGTGTTGTCAACTACAGTCACATGTTATACATTAGATCTTCATCAGTTTCTTTTGCTGATGAATTTTTCTTCCAGTTCAACAGTTGAGTGACTAAATAACCACATTCTAAATGTTTCAGTCACTTAATGCAGATAGTTACCAGCTCAAAGTTCCTTTAAACAGGCACCCACACTGGTTTAATCCAGTACTTTCTATTTTGCCCATTCTCTGGTTCCCCTGATACTCTTTGCAAAACAGGTTAATTCCTTATAATAAAGAACAACCTATTTAATTTAGAGAGACTTTTATACTTCTTAAAACAGTAAATATTAACATTTGTAATTTGAAAGAATTGGAAGTGTGTGGAGAAATGTCTTTTCCTAAGCCACATAAGTACATGCACATTAGATTTTAAAAATGTTTGTTTTAGTCATTTCTCAAATTAGCAGTGGAGTAAGAATTGAAAGGTAGATAAAAATTGTAAACAATATTATAACATTTTAAAAAGGTATATTATTTAGGCATTAACGTTTTTTCCTGAAAAACTGAGTAACATAATTTAAGATGTAGCTGAAAATACAGTTTAATTATTCTGTTGATCAACTTGATAATATGACTAAAAAACTTAAGTCTTTGATTATGTGGCTTCTAATAAATTGTGATATGTATGTGTTATTATACACTGTTTTGTCACAGCTCTAATTCCTCCCTACATATAATACTCTTTGAAGAAAGTATTTGATTTTTTTTTGGCCTCATTTAACCCCACAGATGGTTATATTAGGTTTCAAATTTTGCAAAGAGGTAATATTTCTTAACTAATTTTTAAAGAATTTCTTCTATTCTGTATGTACTATTTGGTGTACTAGAAATTTGGAGTTTTTGATTATTTGTTACATGCTAGAATCACATAAAATTTAGCTGAAGTTCCTAGAGAAAAATTTGTATAAGGAAATTGTAGCCATGTTATATAAAATTAGAAATAAATGGATAAAAATACATCAAAGTGAATTTTCATTTTCCTGTAAGAATTCACTATAAATAGCTTAATTATCATTATTTGAAAGTCTAAAGTATTACTGTTTTTGATATATAGTTATATACAGACCTTGTTTAATACCCTTGTTTAGTACCTCTGCTCTGTAGCATAGGTGCTCATGTTCCCCTCTGTAGAGGTGATGTGTTTTGAAATACACATAAAAAGAAAGATGGCCTCACTTATAAGGTGTATCTATTCTAAAGCTAAAAATTAAGTATCTATATGTTTCACTTGAAATAACTGTCTACATTTGACAAAAAATAGGTATCTACTTTTCTTTCAGAGCCCACATTTAATTTTAAAGTGAGTATTTTAAAATAGGAGTGAAATGGGAGAATGTAGTTTTCTGTTTGGCTGTAGTAATTTGTCTCATATCCATTTGCAAAAGTCCGGTGAACAAGAACAAAAAATACCAGTAATGATAATAAAATTTTGGAAAGTCTATTTTTTAACTCAAAACCTTACATGTGAGGCAACTATCAGACCACTATGCATTCTCTTTGCCTTTTTGAGATTTGTGATTTCTATCAATTATGAGAGATTTCTACCCTTTTCAAACATTGAGCTAGTGTTTTATACATATAAGAATAAAGTTTAATAATTGTGGCCTAGTTATAAAATTAGCAAAATTCTTCTGAAAGCTTCAGACTTCTATTTTCCTATATTAATTTTTGATATATAATATTTGCTCAGTGTGATTAGGTAAAAATTACAAATTTCTTCACAGTAACAGGAGAAAATCGTTTCTTTCTATATTACTCTTATAAATACTGTGTTTTGAATTCTGGTTTTGTTTCTAGGCGGTGGGTCCGGCTGCTCTTTGGACGAGAGTTCCCCCTGCAGGATCTTCTGGTTGTCTGGGATGCCTTGTTTGCAGACGGCCCCAGCCTCAGTTTAGTTGATTATATCTTCATAGCCATGCTACTCTACATCCGAGATGCTTGTAAGTGTTAATGACCTTGCCTCCATTCAAGTAGGTGGTCCTGATTTTTTTTTAAATGTATCTTATTCTTTAAGTATACTTTTATCTCTTATCCTGAATTACCATGCCTACATTTTTATAGTAGGCAATATATTGAAGTTTCAAAGGAACATAGTAAATGTCTTTTTTGTTAGTTAACTATGTACATATTAGATATGCATGATTTTATCCTGAAAGAACTAGAATATTCTTCAGAACCATTTTTCTAAACACTTTACTAGTGCTTTAATCTCATTGCACACATTTGTGAAATACACATATAAAAAGCCAGTATTTCAGATATGTTTAGAGCTCCACCTTCTGACAGGTAGGAGTATTCAAGGATATTTATCAACAGAGTGGAGCTGCTTTTATGGATCAGCAACTTGCCAATAAAACATAAATATTTGATTTAAAGATATTTTAACTTCTCAGTTACATTTTGGCCAAATGTATTTCTCAGTTGAGTGCCAAATGGATGTGTTCCCACCTCATCAGATCTCCCTTAGTGGGCTCGCTGTAGCTGGGAAGCCAATGCCTGTCCCTTCCAAATAGTCTGACAATTCTCAGCTTGGAGAAAATATCAGTGCATGTTTTAAATTTCAAAATACCTCAAATTGTTTTCCTTCTCAAAAAAATAATCACAGTTCACAAAACAAGATTTGTAAGCCAAAATATAATTAGGAAAGATTTCACAAAGTGATCATTAAATAGGAAATAAAAGCTATCATAAGAACAGGACTTTGTCAGAAGAACATAAACTATTTGGAGTCATGTTGACTGTTAAATTGCCATGTGCCTTTCTTTATTTGTTCATTGAATACCAATTGTGCCAGATGCTTTTGCTTTGCCTCTGGTAACACTAATAATATCCTTTAAAATTTTAGATTATACATTTTTAATTCCCCCAAAATTACTTGAATCAATAAGTCACAGGAGCACTACATTTTATCTAAAAGTTGTGGGAGTTTCTCTGTGCCTTGAAGGTCAAATAGTTTGGGTTTTGACAGACAAACTGACAAGTTCATTCTTTCTGACTCTGAACTAATGATATAAGAACATGGAAATCATAAGAAGAAACATCTGGAAAGTAAAGAAAGATTTTGGGTTGATTTGATAGATGTTAGATTTTAGGATATTCAATACTGATCTCCCATTTTAAAGTAATCTTATTTTTTTTAATGTAAATAATAAAAAACAAAAGGAATGTAAAGCCTCTTTTATAAAAAAAATGCTTTTGGATAGTATTTTCACAAACTTTTCCAAATCAAACACTATTGAAATATATCCTGATTTTCTGTAGTCTTAAACAATAAGTTGTTCTTTTCTTAGCTTTTCTTTATAGTGCACCACAACTGTATTTTTAATTTAGTCCTGTTTCCTATGCTAAGATGACTTTTTAAAATTAATTCATAAAACAGGCAAATTTTTAGCAGTTGAAGCTCTTACATATTTTTAAACCCTCCACTGATAAAGTTATAAAACATATGGACACATGTGGAAAATGCAGGTTAGAGTTTGTTCACTTCAATATTTAGTCCAATTTATTTTAATTTGCTTGGTTAAATCTGTAACAGTGGGTGAGATCTCCTAAAAATAGGGTGAATACTTACTAAGTGTTCAAAGGGCACTACCCCATCCTCATAAAGCTTACCAACCAATAGGAAAGACTGACATAATTAATTTCAAACTAACAGATCTGATGCTGTGGTTGAGGTGTGGACAGGTGGTATGAACATTTAGAGGAGGAGCACTGAGTTCCCTCCAATCACCGAGGCCAGTTGTCAGTGACTAGAGAAAATGTTGTAGATACCTGCAAGCTCAGTAAGGGGATCTGCATTCCAAGCAGAAGGAACAGCATAAACAAAGGCTTGGACATGAGAAACAGCTTGACGGGGGGTTGTGCACATACATGTCTCTACAAGCTGTTTGATATTAGAGTACAAAGGGAGAGAGAGACTAACAGGTCATAAAACTGAGGAAGTGAACAGGAATGGGGTCATAGTGAAAGTCCTCATCCTGTAAGTGACAGAGAGATACTGAAGGGTTCAAAGCAGAAGTATAGTCAATTATAGATCAGTTTGGCAACAGTGTGGAAAAGAGAATTGAAGGAGATAAGAGCAAGGAGATCAGATAAAAGCATATGACAGTTGTCTAGGGGGAAAATGGTAGATCAGAAAAATATTCAGAAGTAAAGTCAGCATGTCTTGGTGATTAAGTACAATGGGTGAGAGAGAAAAGGAAGTCTAAAACCATCCCCAGCCTAGGGAGTCAGCTGACTGAATAACATGTGTGACTTACATAGGGAATATAAGGATTAGCAGGCTTTAGGAATGAAATGATTAATTTAATTTGGGTCATGCTGAGTTTGAGATAACTGTAAGAAATCAAAACCTGAAGATTTTGAAAATAGAAGTTCACTGTCAAGGCTACAGGTTCAATTTTGCAAATGGTTAATACATATGTGTTAGTTAGAACCATTACAGTGAATGTGATCTCCCAAGAATAGAGTGACCATATATCTCTGTTTGGGACAGTCTCGGTTTGCAGCTGCCATTCGAGAGTGATAATTATTAACACTGCCCTCTTTCACTCTCAAAGGCATCCCATTAAGGTCATAAGAAGTATATGCTCAGCCTACCTCAGGTGGGGGCCTATAGAAAGAGAACAAAAGGTAGAAGAACTCTGCATTTAACATCAGAGCTTAAGAGGCACCAGAGAAGGAAGAGCTAGTGTTGCGACCTCGCTGAAGTGTGTTATCCCAGCCAAGGAGTGGATGGCTGTTAGGAGTGCTAGGGTACCGTCTGGTAAGGCTGGAAAAGGCCCCTCAGGCTTGGCCCTGTGGAGGGACAGTTGCTTATCAGATGCCATTGCCAAGAATGGGTGTAGTGCAGTGGTGGGGCAGACGCTAGGTTATGGTAAGTGAAGAGTGACTGGACAGTTATGTACAATAGCCTTCTCTGCAGTTTTTGTGGCTGCTGTTGTTTTATGTATGCATTGCGTTTTCAACTAAAAAGCCAATTCAATAAAAAAGAAAGAATGTGGGGATAGCATGTGTAATCTTTAAAGAAACTCAACATAAATGCAAGAAGAAAGATGTAACTAGAGGTCAGTGTTGGGGGCCAGGGAGGCTGCCGGCCGTCTCCAGAATGAGCCCAGGGCGCACTGGATGTGGAGACCAATGGAGAGGTTTCTCCTCAAACCAGCTTGAGTGCCTCCACCAAGGACCAGCACTAGTTTTTCCCTCCTGCCCAACTGATGAGGTCCAAAACCCTGATTTTACAGGCACAGATAATGAGGCCTGTTATGGGTTGAATTATATCCCCCATAAAAAAAGGCATGTTGGAGTCCTAACCCCTAGTACCTCAGAATATGACTGTGGTTGGAAATAGGCTGTTGCAGATGTAATTAGTTAAGATAAGACCATGCTGGAGAGTAAGGTGGACCCCCCCAGTACAATACAACTGGTGTCCTCATAAGAAGAAGGAAATTCATATGCAGATGTGCACAGAGGGAAGACAATGTACAGACAAAGGGAAAGTAATGCCATGTGAAGCAGGCAGAGATTGAGCTATGCTCTGTAAGCCAAGGAACAGCAAGGATTTCCAGTTGTCACCAGAAGCGGGGAGAAAGGCATAGAACAGATTCTCCCCCAGAGCCTTTAGAAGGACCAAACCCTGCCAACATTAGAAGCTGGAAGAGACCAGGAAGGATTCCTCCCTGCAGGTTTGAGAGAGAGCACAGCCCTGCCAACACCTTGGAATTGGACTTCTAGCATCCACAACTATGAGACAATAAATTCCTGTTGTTTTAAACCATTCAGCATTTGGTATTTTGTTACAGCACCCCCTTGCAAACTAATATAGTACCCTTGGCATTCGGTAACGAACATAGTCTGTGAGCTCAGTCCAGTGTCCCCACTTCATTCTTTTCCACCCACTCACTCATGTTAGCATCTCATCTTTGTTGACAGGAGTGTTCTTACTATTTTCTTTATATGCCTTGAACAAAGCTTTCATTCTCTTTGAAAGCAATTCAGTCAGGCAAGTATAATATTAAACTACTTAGCAGATTTCTCACAAACACCACAGTCTTTATGAGGCTTCAGAGAATGAGCCCAATCTCCATGTTTAGAGGTAAGGACACCAGGTCAAGCCACAGGGCTAGTGACAGACTGGTTCTCACATCAACTTATTCATCACTCAAGTCCTACCTTGATTTTATTAAGTAAAAGTAAAATTTCACATTGGAAAAAGTAACAATATGAATATTATCAATACAGATAATGCAACCTTTGTAATGCTGGTTAAATGGCTGTTCCTTGAATGAAACTTTTGCTTTACTAAGGAGATATTTAGTACCCATTTCTAAATAGAATTATCTCCAAACATTTTTACTTTCATATGTGTTTTAAGAAGTGCTTTTTTGGATTCTTTGCTGGGTTCTATAGATTAAGATTATATGCAGAAATAAAGGTTAGGAGATAAGGAAATACAGTCATGAACCACTGCTCCCACAATTGTTGCTTAATAGCCATACTCTCATCACAGTATTTTGTTCCTGGCCTATTCCAAACCATAAGCCCCTCGTGCATCCCTCCCTCCCTGGCTCTACCTACCTAAGTCTTGCTCCTATTTTCAGCCCTATGGCAAGTTAGTTTTTTCACAAACCTTCCCCACTTGTTCTAGCCCTCATTGATCTCTGCCCAGTGCAGTACTGTAGGATTTTAATCAGTACCCCTCACTGTAGCGCTTCCTGTGCTCTCCTGTTCTTTGCTGTGCATGTCATCCCACCTGCTCCACTGCATTGTACACTCCTCAGGACCGGACCACATGCACTCTGACTCTTCCCTATCCCTCAAAACACCTGAAACTCCGCATGTGCCCAGTTACTGTATGCGGAGCCATTTTGGGTGGAAGGGACTCTGGAGATCTGCGTGGGATTGATGTGCAGTAAATGCCGAGGGTGGGTGTCAAGGAGCT